CCTCAAAGTCCTGGAGAGGCCGTACGCAGACCCTGACCCTTTGTGTGAAACTGAAACGTGTGGCGGTGAACTGGAGCCCAAACTGAGAGCGTTCACGGACTCCTACGACGCTAAGCCTCCCGCATGGGCAAAAAGTATTTGCATCACCTGATCCACGTAGGCGCTCCTGGGCAGCTGAAGAAAAGAGGTCTGTTTTTCAGTGATGGGTCAATAGTAAATCAAAACTGTGTTGTTGTTTTTATCGTGAATAGCAGTTTTCTTACCATCGCTATTGTCTATTTCCATTTCAGGCTTTTTCTTCTATTGCCAGCAGGGAGGATGTAACATAGTGTGTTCCTGAGTTCATCGGCACAGGACGGCAGTCTGTCATTGGCTTCGTCATATTTTTCTTTATTTTAGAGAGTAAAAGTGTCTAATCTGAGTCTAAATTCACCAAAACCTCCTCATACAAATACGCTGATTATTTCCTGTTTATTTCATGACGAGGAATTAAGGCAAATGCATTTAATTGGTGGCGTCTACACTTGTAAATGCCACATTGACACACTGTAGTTTGAGGTATAAACCAGATAAAGCGGTTGCACTCGCCGTATGTATTGCTGATGACTCATGATGGCCAAGACAACAAGTTACTCAGTGACCTGTCTGGGCCTGAAACTACAGGGACGCACCATTAGGAATCATTTAGGGGTCAGTAGATTTATAGCTGTAGTGTATTTTGAGTAGTCCAGAATCAGAAGACACAGGCGGTTTACAATTCTTTCTAGATATAATTTACAATTCCTTCTAGATATGGCATGATTGTTAATATATCTCTGTAACAAATGTTCAATTTTTCCAATAAAAGATGAACACCCTGTTATGAAATCAATCATGCCTGGAAGTCCCTAATTTGAATTTGAATTCCCCTTATTTCCTCGGAGATATAAACAGCTATATTTTTTACGAGATAGCAACAACTGACAAGAAACCCCCGTTATATCTCTGTTGGAGAGGTGTTAGGATTCCTCCCAAGGGATGAGAACCTGTGTGGTGCCAAATTACTACGAAATGTATCAGAATTTGACATCAAAATGTTTGTGGTTTCATACAGGATACCCATGTATTTGTTGGAGCTTCTAAAATAGTATGAAATGGCAGAATAAGGCTCAACTCTAGCAGACATTACAGTGATAGCAAAATGCTTGACAGTCTTATTTTCCAACACTTTCATCCTCCCTACTGCCGGTTAAGACAATGTTGGAATGCTATTTTAGACACAGTCGTGTACTCAAACCGAGCCAGTTATCAACAAATCAAACCATAGACATAGATGTGACAGAAGTTGCTAAATAGATTTCTCAGTCAAATATTATCATAGAACAGTATTAAAAGCTTCTCTTTTCAGAATCCAAGCTGACTTTATAACTGCTGGTAAGAATTTGTTGTGAGCAGCCAAGCCAAGGAGCACATTGAACGCAGCATGATTTGAATGGTTAGATCCACAAAGACAGATTTTTATCTCATCAGTATAGTATAGTCTGGTCCAAGTTGTTTTCTCTTTTCTTTTCCATATATAGAAGTTTGAGGTAAAGCGAGGTCTAAAAATTTGACTTCCGATAATCATGTACGGGTAATCATTCACAGTGTGTGGCCAGCCCTTTGACATATTGTCGAGTCGAGCTCTGTTTTTATGATGGTGTTTTATGATGATGTTTAGCAGTAAATACTGCTGCATCTCAGTGGAAAGACAAAAAGCATTTCATTTCTTAGCATCGGTTTGTTTGGTCACCGAAACAAGGACTGAGTCACAGTTCGTCAATATTACATTTTCCACAGCCACAAATCGGAATGTTCACCGGCTGTTCTTAAAGGCAAACAAATACTTACATATATGTTATGTCTCACTAGCAAAAACTATGAGTTCGAGTTACTTTTTGGTTTCTGGGTACAAGGCTAACTGATAGCTGACTGATAATTTTGACTTTGCGACATGGTCTCCACACAGGGGGCCTGAAAATGAATTCCCAACTGTCCTGCAGACAGATGAAACTAGTCAGTCTTATCCCTAGTTAACTCAGCTTTGGAGGAACCGTGTGAAATCTTACACACGTATTTGCAAGTCAACTTTAGCAGCCACAACATTGACAGTCAGATTTTGTATTATTCCTTCAATGTCTTATGTCCCTTGTGTTCAAAAGTACTTTCTTAATGATTTTTTTTACAAGAGGGATTTGATGAAGGTCTGTAAAATAACATATCGTAAGGAAGGAAAGATTGACTATTTAGCAAGGAAGCACTGTCCCTGAGTGAGGCAGGGGAATTTTCTATCTCAGTAGATAGCTGTAGGAAGTCAGTGTAGGCGTGGTGAAGACGGCCACACCAGCTTTAATGACTTAAAACTGCCAGTCTTGCCATACAAGAAACTTGTCTGTGGATTTACACACACAAGGAAAGCGGCTATGGGTTCCATTGCAGAACTGCTCCTAGCTACTTTCAGTGATCTGATTGATGACGACCTCAGGATTTTTCAGTTTTACCTATACAGTAGTGATTTT